TATTAAATTGGAACTTTAAGGATCGTTTTGCCTTGGACTCTGATTTAATTCTGCATGATACTTGGAACGCTGACAGTATGAATGTGTAAGCAAAATTTCTTTGCTTTTTTTTTTTTTTTTTAACAGGGCCACCACATGTGGTGGTTTGTGCCTGGTGCTTGTTTACGTTTCCAACGGGTCAACAAACATTCCCAACGTGTAGCAACATGTCCCCGAAGTGTTGGAAAGGGAAACAAAACACAGAGCCAAAGAGGCAGCCAGGTCCTCGCGGAAGGAAGAGCCGGGCTGGAAACCTACCCTCAAATCCACACCGTGTGTTGATTTAGTCTCTCCAGATGTTTTCAAAGGAAGGCTTGCTTTTCATTACATTGCTAACTCGGATCAATCGAGGAAGCGTAGACTTCGTAAAACGGGGATTTGTTCAGGCTGAAAGGGAGAGACCTAGGAAAGGGAACTGTATAGAGACGATGGAAATTTCCAAGACAGAGTAAACCAGGGATGGCGAATCCTTTCGGCGGCGAGTGGCCAAACCGCAAGGCACATCCACGTGTGCTGGAGTGCTGGAAACCCAAAAAAACAGCTGGCCGGCATGCACGCATGTGCTGGCCAGCTGATCTTTGCGCTTCCAGCATGCAGCTGATCTTTGTGTGCGCCAGAGCACTAGAATTCGGAAGACCAGCAGGCTAGTTTTTGCTTCGTTTTTGGTCGTTTCTGGTGCCATTTTCAGGCCGTTTTTCGCTGCTCCGGCGGCCACAAAAGCCAGCTGGCGATGGCGCAGGTGCCCAAAGAAAGGGCTCCATGATGCCACCTTGGGCATGCGTGCCATAGGTTTGCCATCACAGGAGTAAGCCATCTTGGCTTCTATCTCGATAAACACAGCCTTCCTGGGAATGTGAAACAAAGCCCATGTTTAGCCAGGTTTCCAGCTGCCGGGGTTATTGCTGTGGCTTTTGAGAGAGAGAGAAAGAAAGAGGAGGAATGACGGATGACGAAGCCGGCAATCCACTTCTGGATTGCCGCAGGGAGAATCGCCTGCAGTCAAGAATGGGGTTTAAACGCTCAGGGCTCACACCTCCCCTAGAGGGGAAGACCTCTTCCCTCCGGTGCTCCGATGCGGCTAGAAAAATCATGATCACCACAAGAAACGTCGAAAAACACCACNAGGAGCGAATGGGGAGGGGGCTTTTTCAGGAAACAATTCATTCATTCGGTCGTTTCAAGAGTGGAAAGTTCTGTTTGTGACTGTAAGAGACTCTGTGCCAAATGTGGCCTTGCCCTGTGTTTGGAAACTAGTTATCTGGCAGCTCTCGAAAGGAGATAAGGTTCGTGTGGATAAACATTCCTCTGAAAGACTGTTTGCCAAGCCTGGCTGACTGTGAATGAAAGGAATTCACAGCCGTGTAAATAAAAGAGGTATTGCCAGGACCAAGACTCTGCTTCATGCTTGTTAAGGGAGCGTGGGTCAGAAATAACTGTAACGTATCTTTTCACCTCGCACTAATGGGATTGGCTGGAGAGGCCCACCACCGACCTTCGTCTCCGCAAACCAGCTTCTTCACGACGCAAGGGATCTCGACGTAGCCGAGTTCTTTCAGCTGCCCCACTTGCCGAGCCGTGATGGGGTGCTCCCACATGAGGGTGTTCATGGCAGGGCAGAAGAGCAAAGGTTTGCTCACGTCCCAGGCACGGATGACGCAGGTCTGTACAGAAAGAGCAAAGCCTTGGGAGGAAATGGCCACCGATGGAGACCTGACCACAAGGGGAATGCAGCCAGAACCTTGAACAGAGGAACAGAGATGGAGGCCGGTTCATTTATAAAATAAACCAAGAAGTAGAGAGATTGGGAGGTGCTCCAGTAACGGCCTTGTAGTCTCAAGAGGTCTAGAGGGGAGATGGCAGGGGTGGGGGTGGGGGTGGGAACGGCAGACAAATGATGGGATGTGCATCATCAACCACAATCACTCCACCCACAGGTGGAAACCTGTGACTAGTTTTTTCTTTTTCTTCCTTTTTTCTTTTTGTCCTAATTACTTGCATAGGGATTATTCTTTATGCTATTTATGTTGTTTGTATTTGTTGACATGGATTGCACCAGTGAGGCTAAAACCAATTTTGTTATATATAATTGAATTCTGGGAGTTGAAGTCCACCAGTCTTCAAATGGCCAAGGTTGGAGACCCCTGGTATACATGATGTACAATGACAATAATACTCTATTCTACTTTACTTTACTCTACTCTACTCTACTCTACTCTACTCTACTCTACTCTAC